AAAAAAAAAAGTTATATCCGGGAAAAAGAAGAAAAAAATAGAATAATCTTTAAAAAAAATAAATAAATAAAAATGTACACTTACGTACATAAGACACAGTGAAGAAAGCGAAATTCGGATTCATCTGCTATGATTACAAACCTGCAAAACGTGTCAAATTATGATATTTGCTACTTGGGGTGAATGGCAGGTAGGGGTCTGTCCTCTCATTTTTTTGATAACATTGTTTCTTTCAGAATTTCTAGATAATTTTCCTAAGTGTAAATGCCTTCAAGATTAGAAAGATGAGATCCAAGTGCTAGCTTGGAACAGGTAGTGAAGACATGTTCATTTTCAGTTCCGGGGCTGAAAAGCCTTCATCAAGGTAGTCCATTGCTCAGAAAGCTCAAACAGAAAAATGTCATTACAAAAGAGGAAGCAATGGCCACTTGGCGACCCCACACGGTGCTGGTGACAGGGGTTAACTTCAAAACCCAAGGAAATGAATAGAAGGAAGTGGACACTAAAGCAGCAGGAGTTGAGGGCAGAGGTGGGAGGGAGGGCCGGTCAGCTCCACCCTGACATCAGCACACTCGCCCCCACGCGCAGGCCTCAGCCTCTCTGCTCCTCTGCCACCTGCCAACCTGGACACACCTCCCTTCAGAGCTGCCAGCATCCTCTGAGTGGTACAGTAAAGTGTACTTGACATTCCACTGACCAGAAAAAGCAACTGACTTCTCTACAATCTCTGAACAGACAAAACTGTTCATAACAATGACTCCGGGGTCAGTTAGGTCAGTGGGTCTAAAACCTAGCCGCGCTGCAGGGTCACCTGGGAAGCTTGGTAAAATGTGCTTTCTTGGGGCTCTACCCTCTAATTTTGATTTAGTAGGTGTATTTTGGTACCTAAGAATCTATATTTTTAATAAACACCCCTAAGAATTACATTTAGGAACCTCTGGACTAAGCAATGCATGGTACAATTTTAGTGTTTAATACAGCTTATCATAGTTTCATTTCCTAAAATCGATGGACAGTCTGATCAGAGTATTTATTTAAGTGGAATATCCATTCATCAACTGTGCCAGAAAACAAAATATTTACTATACCTGGTAATCCAGCATGCAGAAGCTTGGAAAAAACTGACAAATTCGGGATTCAAAAAAATAAGGGAAAATCCAGAATATGGGTAGTTCTTTGTGACTGCTATCTAATGGACCACAAAAAAGGAAAAGAAAATAAGAAATTGGTATTTTAAAAAAATAAAAGAGCTGTAACTGAAATACTTCTAATATTGGGAGAAATTGCAATTGTTCAATACACTTAAATCATACAAAAGAAGAGAACGTTTACCAGAATGCCATTTACAACTTGACGTTTCCCAAAAGTCAATGGAAACATTCTTTTACACCTAAACGCAGGTATAAAGGGTATATAAAAGTAATCCTTACACACATAATCACTATATTCTAGGTAAAGGCAAAGATATCACTAATTAATAAACAACCCCATTTATAGACAGGGCAACTGAAGCCATAAGATTTAAGTAATTTGTTCTTCATTGCTTCCTCAGTAACACTGACTGTATCCATTCTGATCAGTGGACTTAAGAACTGAAAATAAGTGGAATACTTAACACTGAGTCATGTTTCGGATTTCTTTTGCATTCTGTCTCCAAAGCACACTATTTATGTAGCACAATTAAAGGAGAAGCTCGATCACAAATTCCTGACACTCTTACAGTTCGTCAACTTGCAAGCTGGAAACTAAAAAATGATTGTACCAACTAATTTAACAATTAATTAAATAAAATATTTTGAAGGCCTAAGCCACTTTAAGCTGAATAATAACCCCCAGCCACTAACCCACCTCTACTGTGTGGGTGTCTATCTGTCACTGATAACCACGGTAAGGCTGGTGCATATCCGATCTTCCTACCTAAATCTTGGCACAGTTTAGAGCTCTGAGCCAGAGGCTGGGCACCCTCTTAGAGCTGTGGGCAAGACTTTAGGAACATGGAATGTAAGATCCATGAGGGCAGGAATATGTGTCCGTCTGGTTCAGTACTCTATTTCCAGCACCTAAACAGTACCTGGTACACAGGGGCCACTCAGTAAATAGTTATTGAATAAATGACAACAGTTTACTGCTATTCTTCGTAATGTCCCCTTATGCTCACCTACAAGTCATTTTGAGAACACGTGATTAGGATAATACAAAGTGTATCATGATAATGAAGTCTGCCACATTCTCAAATAAGCCTGTTAAAAAAAAAACACACACACAAAAAAAACCACACACACAAAAAAACACAAGAACCCAAGACATGTATATTTTATCAGAGCTCCAATTCACTGAGCTCTGCTAATATTTGACAGGAAGTAGATACACAGATACATGTTTATTCTGCAGTAAGTAATAAATTACACACCTTGGCTTTGACCTTCTTTCCACATACCAATTAACTTCTTGAATGTAACAGCCAGAGGTTCAACCAAGCCACCAAAAGGAGGATCTGTCACCATAATGACTCCCTCACCTTTATCTTCCTGTAAAAATGTTCTGCATACTTCAAGGGCAGCCTGGAACAAATAAAAATTCATTTCTAAATGAGGACTACAGGGAGACACTCCATCCTATTCAGAGAATGCATTAGGCTCGCTCCCACTGTTTGTACTGAAACTTCACCCGTCCTGCCACCCCAGAGTCCCTCAGTGACGTCCTGAAGCTTCTCCCATTCAGCCCCCAAGAGATTTTATCTTTTGGGTTCCTTGATAAGTGGGTTTTTAAAATTGCAAATTCAAGCACCATCACTATCAGAGGACTACACATTTCAAATGGTTAAATTAAAAAACTAAATTTAGTAACCTAAGAGAGAAAAACTCATTACCCATGAAGACTATCTAAAATGCTGAATTCAATCCCACAAACAGAAGCGGGGACTGAGCTAAACACTGGAGACACAAAGACAAATAAGACCTATTTTTTCCCTGTCTGGTTTGTCCACCACCACGAGTTCACACATTATCAGTCACCTCGCACACATTGCTGAGCAGCAGGTACTGGACAGACGTGTTCGGACACGCACGGTAAGTAAATGAATGAGAGTCCGCAAATAACAAAGCTCAGCCAGGCCATGAAACCAGGCTATTAACACATTTTCCCAACAGACCAAGTGGAGTGTTTTTAGTCATTGTAAAATTAACATTACGCACTGTCTATTTATTATTTTCTGCTTCGGGAGAAGACATAATAAGAGATATACCTATTATACTAACTCCAGTCTACTGACTCTGTAGTCCTTTTCAAGCACTCACCTATAAAAGCAAATCAGCACAGTATACAAAATAGTCTAAGACTTTAAAGTTTAATGGCATTTTAAACTTTAATAAACCCATATGTACTTTATAATAAAATATATATTGCTCTACTACTAAATCAATTTAGAAGATTCAGCTGATGACAGGAAAAACGACAACATCCTAATCCGCTTTCCCGAGGAGAGTCTTTATTAACTTCCTACTGGAAGTCCTAGAGCGAGGGATGGTGTGTCAGGAAGGTTAATCATTTTTCAAGTGCTGCCTGGCACTTCCTTAACCTGCCTACATGAACAAGGACTTAAAATACAGATGATGTTACTGAAAAACCTTCCAGTTCCTTAGACTTAAAGGTAGGAAAAGAAAATAAACAAGGAAATGAAACCTCCACTCTTAGCTAAATTAAAAAACCATAGAGTACATCTGTTTCCAGGTAAGAATCAATGGGGTGACGTCCAGTCATGACCCGCTGAAGGTCCTAATGTTGACCACCTATGGAAACCAGATGCTTGCTTATGCTACCCGTGTTGACAGTGCCTTACCTCTTCCCTCCATCTCAATCATCACTAGAAAAGTCCTTGGTACTTTATTATTTTTTTTAAAGATTTATTTACTGATTTGTTTGGGGGAGAGAGAGAGAGAGTGTGTGTGGGTGTGCACACGAGCGGGGGGAGGGGCAGAAGGGGAAGGAGAGAGAGAGAGAGAGAGAGGAGCAGACTCCCCACTGAGCAGGGAGCCCAAGGCGGGGCTCGATCCCAGACCCCAGGACCATGATCTGAGCCAAAGGCGGACGCTTAACCTACTGAGCCACCCCAGGCACCCCAAAAGTGCTTGGTACTTTAAATAACCATCCCCTGTACATACTTCAACCTCCCTGACCATTAAGGCATATGACATTTTCTATTACCTGCAAGACTGTATGATTTTCTATGAGAAAATCCTGCACAGGGAACTCCCGCTTTTTAATCCAGTGCACTGTGAAGTGCTTATGGGCCTCAACAGAAGCTTATATACCCCAAAGCACCCTGTACACCTTCATAGGCGCCTGGTAGACGCTTCAATACTCAGGGATTGGTAAGTAGATGGTAAGCCTCCACTGAAAACCCTGACTCAGGAAGTAGGCAGAAAAAGGGCAGAGAGTAAAATCATCCAAGACAACAGTTTTCTGTAGATCAATCCCTACAGTCTCAGTGCTATGTAGAGGCCGCTCCTAAAATATAGAGAAAGGAAAGCCTGAGCTAGATGATTGTTTTCTTCCGGGAAAAATAAAGTGGAGCCCAGTCTTGGCAGCTTATTCCAACCATTATTTTAGAAACTTATAAGGTAATTCCATAAGCTTTCAATAAAAGTTAAAAAGAATTTTCTAGAAAAAGGCTAATTACATGTTACATTCTTAAAATATAAACAACGGTTAGCCAACTGTTAGGTATTCAAACATCATTTCACTCTTATCTCACCATTATTGTACAAGACAGAAAGCAAAGTCGTGGTATGAAAAACAAATAAGCACATAAACAAAGCCGACGCACGACTGCAGCATCCAGCAGTAATACAGACGTGGTTATTTTACCTACTCTGACGCCGGCCCTGACTGCACCTGCCCCCTGACCACACCCTGGAGCTTGAGGCCCCAGAGTTTCAAGAAGCCATACTGAATACCTCTACATCAATATTCCACCTGCCCCACAAACCCAACATTTCCAATTTTCAATTCCAACCTTTCCTACCCTGTTTTGAAGAATGAAATACAAAGCCAGGCTGGACCACTAAGTCATCTTTGACTTCTTCCCCAGTACACTTACCACCAAGTCTTCCAGTTTCCATCTGTGAAATGCCTACTGAACCCACCTCTCTCATTTCCTCATCACCACTGGCCTAGCTGAGAAGTCCACCATCGTCTGTTGTCAAGTGAGTTTGCAATTCCTCTCTCCTTCACATTCATCTAATCAGTTCTTAAATCCTAGAAATTATCGACCACATAAGCCCTTCGGAAAACTATGTCTAATTCTAAACTGCTATTTATTTCAATACTTGGTTTACATGGCTATCACAGCTAAAAAATATGTATTTCAATGCTGACTGAGTCTCATGGAAGGAGTGGATCATTGGCTAGACTGAACCAGGAGACTCATTTTCCAATCCCAACCAACAATTTAAAATTTGTTTTCATTTCCTAGATACGTAGTTTTTTAGTTTTGCTTGGTTTTTGTTCTATCATTAATTAACATCTTAAAACACAATATATACTTATACATGGTTTACAATTTTTGAAAAAACTGATATACGTGCATATATGGATATGTGCTTCAGGTAGTCTTGATCATTTCAAACAGTTGCGGCCAACTTCCTGTCAGGTGTGATTACTTGGTTGGGTATAGTTTTTATTTTGTAATACAACTGGCAAAGAGCTCAAACTAGAAGTATCAGCTCTGCTATGTTGTTTATTTATAGTGACATTAATAACATCGTATTATTGAAAGAAGCTACGCCCTGCTACCCATGGACGGCCTCCCTCATTATCACCATCCCCCACCAGAGTGGTGCATTTGCTGCAACTAATGAACCTACATTGACACATCATTATCACCCAGAGTTAACAGATTAGGGGTCACTCTTGACCCTGTCTAATTTTTAAGAATTAGTTTAATAAAACTATAAATCCCTTTAACTGGTACATGACATTTACCAGGGAGGCAGACATCAAACAACTATCCACAGAATTTTTTTTTTTTTTTAAAGATTTTATTTATTTATTTGAGAGAGAGAGAATGAGAGACAGAGAGCACCAGAGGGAAGAGGGTCAGAGGGAGAAGCAGACCCCCCGCTGAGCAGGGAGCCCGATGCGGGACTCGATCCCAGGACTCCAGGATCATGACCTGAACCGAAGGCAGTCGCTTAACCAACTGAGCCACCCAGGCGCCCAATCCACAGAATTTTTTAATTATAGTATCATATAGCTACAGAGGAGAGCCTGACCTTGTCTGGGGGTCAGGGGAGGCTAGAGAAAGTGACTTGGAACAGAGCTTTGAAGGACAAGGTGAAGTTAACAAAGACTAGAAGGCAGAGGGAACAGCATGGGCAAAAGCCCACTTGGCAGAAAAGACAAAAGCCAGTCCCAGATGAAAGCCATACATCCAGAACACAAACAAACCCCAGAGCGGGAACAAGAAGACAGACTGGAGGGTGGCAGGGGTCAGATCAGGCAGAGCCCTGGGGGCCTTGGTAAGAAAGTGGGTCTGTATCCAAAGAGCAGTGAAAAATCACAAAAGAAGAACAGCACAATTCACTTCTAGATGTTTGATACACACTCAGTAGATGAAGAAAAAAAAAATGCCAATCAATAAATGGTGGAACAGCCATGATATGATCTTGAGGGACTCTAAGAAAATAAGAGAGGGTACTCTGGAATTTGTTCTTCCATAATAAGAAGGATAACGGTCGTAATTCTTACCTTTCCATCAAAGAAGTGATGGTTAAACATGTTATAATGGCAAAAGCTATCTTCCATATAAAACTGTGAATACCTGTAAAATAATTTATTACTGTAGTTATTTGTCCAGTTATGGCTATATAGTAAGTAAATACAAACTAAATTTTAAAACTATGAAATCACACCTTTAATAAAAGCAATTTCATCATTCCTTAGTGTTCTGGAATATAAAGAATACTTCTCCAAAATCTCAGGGAGTCAGTCACAATGAATGAATATCAAACTTAAATTATGTTCCCAAGTTAATAAGCTAGTGACAAAACTACAGAAGACTCATATATAAAGTTCACATGTTCCTTCAGACCACAGAATAATACAGAAACAAGGAGATCACTGATAGATTGTTATGCAATTTAAGTTTGAGATGGGTTGGCAATTAAAATACATTTCATACTTAATAATTTTAAGAAAAACACTGAATCAACATTTCTGCTCAACAGCTGTTAATTATTTTCTTCTGTGGTTAACAAAAAAAATATTTAATACAAAGCATTTCTTGTCTATTGCAGATTAGCTCAATAAAATATGCTTCTCAATATATAAGAAAAATAAGTACGTGCCTTTCATATTTACTGAATTAGTGCCAGGAAAGAGAGATATTTATTTACTGATTGAACCATTTTATTCTTCTAAGATACTACTTTAAAATGCAATCAGTAATGAATGAGAGTACCAGCTTTGGGCATTAACATTTTATAAATTTTTGCTAATTTACTAAAAACTCATAGCACATTATGATTTAAATTTACATTTATTTGATTTCTTATAAGACTGAGCTTTCTTTACACCTTAATTGTCTGTCTCTACGTTTTCCCCATTTTTACATATATGGGTCTTGGTAGTTCTGGCTGAATTCTGAGTTTTTTGTATAATGTTTGTTATCACAATAGGATTCTGAACTTCCAAAATTTTGCTATAAACAATTCACATATGAACCACATCATCCTTCTACAGAATTCATAACCTAGTGAAAAAAATCAGGGACACATGCTTTTTACACAACTTATTTAACCAAATCGTGAGAGCAGCACTTTGCTTCTACTTCTACTCCTCCCTTACTGTCCATAACTGACCACCCATGGTGACTATTTCGTCTAACAGGCAGCCCTGCTTTATCCTCTTCATATTACACTATGATTAAAAGTACAGGCTCTAGGGGCGCCTGGGTGGCTCAGTCGTTAAGCGTCTGCCTTCGGCTCAGGTCATGATCCCGGGGTCCTGGGATCGAGCCCTGCCACTGGGCTCCCTGCTCCGCGGGAGGCCTGCTTCCCCCTCTCCCACTGCCCCTGCTTGTGTTCCTGCTTTCACTGTGTCTCTCTCTGTCAAATAAATAAATAAATAAATCTTAAAAAAAAAAAAAAAAAAGTACAGGCTCTACAGTCAGATGGTCTGGTTCCAAACACTGGGTCTTAGGGCGCCTGGGTGGCTCAGCTGGTTAGGCATTCAACTCCTGATTTTGGCTCAGGTCATGATCTTGGGGTCATAGGACTGAGCCCCCACAAAAGGATCTGCGCTCAGCTTGTCCCTCTCCCTCCCCTCCTGCCCCTCCCTGTGTTCACTCACACACTCTCAAATAAATAAAATCTTAAAAAAAAAAAAAAAAAGCCTGGGTGTCTCACTTAGTACTTATGTAACCTTAGTGAGTTATTTAACCTATTGAGCCTCAGTTTCTTCATCTACAAAATGGAAGAAATAATAGTGTCTACTCCAAAGGACTTGGTAAATATAAGTGAGATAATATATGTAAAGTGCTTAATACAAAGCAGCTGCATACCATATACTAAAATGTTAGGCATCGCTATTTTAATAAATATCAGCTATAAAGATTTATGTCTTAATGCCCCTCATATTAGAGAATCATGTTTATGTCCAACCAAAATTTCTCCTCCTATAATCTAAACCCCTTTCGTCTTGTTCTGTAGAGACAGAAGAACAGCTGTTCATTCTAAGTACAATGTCCCTTAATATCATTTGAGATACTGTTAGTACATCTGCTGATTTCATAAAACATAAATTTGCACTGAAGAAATAAACAAAAGGTTTAGATAACTGAAAACACATTTAAACTATAGACTGTAACCTGATGAACATTCCAAAACCTGTGGGAAAATGTCAATTAGCGTTAGTAAACAAATGTCTTCCTAATTAACTCAATTCCAAGTAACTGATTATATAGATATATCAGTTATCTATAGGTGTATCTCAGTAGTAGTAATGCCGTGGATCAACTATCATTTGATGATCTTCTTCTTTCTTGTATTGCTTTGTAAGTGTGAGCAAAGGAAAATGCAATCGCTTTTAAAATATATTTCTACCCCCTCTCCACTTTTTCGTATTGCTTCTCAAAGACACAATAGTCTGTTTTTTAAAAATTAAAAAAGAAATTTTATTTACATAAAATTCAGCACAGCACACTTGTCTAAAACATTCTGGGCAGCAGTAGGCAGAGTCAGAGAGAGAAAAAAGCCAAGATTTCAGCTTTGAGTTTCCATCAGATACAAACAAGGGAGCATAATTTTTCATATTTTAAATTATGAAAAATCACTGAACATTACCCTCTTAAAATGAAATTGGCCTCGAAGAATTATTCTCTCTATTGAATAAGGCAAACAAAACCAATCAGAAATGCATGCACTTGAAAACTGCAAAAGGACATTCATTTAATTTGGCCATTCATTCTCTTTAAATGAGAGTCAGTTACCAAGTGTGAAACATGCTCTATACACAGGAAATGTAATCAAGAGCTGAATAAAATTAGTCCATGAAATGAACCTAAGAAATTCATTTTTTTGATGTAACTTTATTTGGACGATAGTTTGCCAAATAGAGTTTCACATCTTTCATGCTAAAATTAGAGCATATAAAAATCCATCTTAGCAAATGTTAACTTCATATTTTAGACCCCCTGAAGAGGATATTTATAGCATATGTAACACTGGAGTTGAGGTAGTTTTCTGAAGCCTTGGACAGACCTTTTGTAGGGCAACAATAAACCAAAGTCAAAGTGCCAAAACTTAACTACTCGCTGTCACTCTATATCACATAGGAATTTGTTCCTGATTTAATTGTGGTCCTTCTGAGAAATCTGAACCAACTCCACACCCCATAATATTGTGTGTACGGGCAACAGACTCAGTTGATTCTGGCCACTAACATGTTTCAATAAATGAGCTCACTCTCTCGCTCTCTCTCTCTTTTTTTAATTTATTGGAGGGGGGGCAGTGGGAGAGGGAGAGAGAATCCCAAGCAGGCTCCACACCCAGCACAGAGCCCAACGCTGGGGGTTCAGTCTCACAACCCTGAGATTATGACCTGAACCGAAATCAAGAGGCGGACGCTTAACCGACTGAGCCACTCAGGTGCCCCAACGAGCTCTCTCTTAATACCCAATGTCGACCTTTTACAGAACTGACTCAGCATAAAAGAAGCTAAGCTAACTAATACAACCCCTTCAGTTTTTGTTTCCACACATACACAGAAGTTTATTGATATGAAAAGAAAAAAATATCAGTATATTCAATAAGTTACAAAATAACTTTATCCACATCCCCTACTCTGTGCAGGAGATTTCAATATACAGGCCCAAGAAAGGTAAAACTACAAGACATATAGCTTAAATTAAGAGTTAAGGGTCCATGTAAATCTTTCAAATTAAAAGTAATTCAGCTATGATGAAAAGAGTTCTGGTGAATGGTTGTACCCAACAATGTGAAGGCATTTAATTTACTTAACACTACTGAACTGTACACTTGAATAACTAACATGGTAAATTTTAACCTATATGTATTTTACCACAATTTTTTTAAAGAAGTAAATCAGTACACTAGCAATGAACAATACAAAATGAAATTTAAAAAACAATTTAATGTATAATAGCAACAAAAAGAATAAAATATTTAGGAATAAGTTAAAAGAAGACAAGCAAGACTTGTACACTGAAAACTACAAAATATTGTTTAAAGAAATTAAAAACGACCTAAATAAATGGAAGGACCTCTTATGTTCAAGAACTGGAAGACTTAATATTTAAAACTATTCCCCAAACCGATAAAAAAAAAAAAATGCAGCAAAATCCCTATAAAAATTCCAGCTGGCTTTTTTGTAGAACTTGACAAGCTAATCCTAAAATTCATATGGAAATTCCAGGAACCCACAACAGCCAAAACAATCTTGAAAAAGAATACAGCTGGAAGACTCACACCTGTAATCAAGACAGTGTGGAACTGGCATAAGGATAAACATAGATCAAATGAAAAGAATTGTGAGTCTAAAAATAAATGCATACATTTGTGGCCATTTGGTTTTCAGTAAGGTACCAAGACAATTCAATGAGAGAAGAATAATCATTTCAACAAATGGTGCTGAGGTAACTGGATAGTCACATGCAAAAGAATGAAGGTCTTGGACCCCTACCTCACACCATATATAAAAAAATAACTCAAAACAGAACAAAGACCTAAATGTAAGAGCTAAAATCATAAAACTGTTCAAAGAAAGCACTGTGCAAATATTCATGACCTTGAATTTGGCAAGATATGACACCTAAAACATAAGTAACCAAAGAAAAAGGAGGAAAACTGGACATAATCAAGTGAAAAGACAGCCCACAGAAAGGGAGAAAATATTTATAAATCATATATCTATTAAGGGTCTAGCATCCAGAATATATTTATTCTTTCAATTTAACAACAACAACAAAAAAGACAAGTAACCAATTAAAAAATGGGCAAAGGACTGAATAGATGCTTCTCCAAAAAGATAAACAAATGGCCTGTAAACACATGAAAAGATGCTCAGCATCATGAGCCATCAATAAAATGCAAAACAAAATCACAATGAGATACCACATTAGAAAGACAGACAGTAGAGGCACCTGGGTGGTTCAGTTGGTTAAGCGCTTGAGTTTTGATTTCAGCTCAGGTCATGATCTCAGGATCATGACATCAGGGTTGTGAGATCAAGCCCTGCATTGGGCTCCGTGCTGGGCATGGTGCCTACTTAAGATTCTCTCCCTCCATCTCCCTCTGTCCCTCCCCCTGCCTGTGTGCACTCATGCTCTCTCTCAAAAAATTAAATAAATAATTTAAAAATACAGACAGACAATAACAAGAGCTGACAAGAATGTCAAGAAATTGGAACACCCATATATTGCTGGTGGAAATGTGAAATGGTAGTCACCTTAAAAAACAATTTATCAGTTCCTCAAGAAGTTAAATGTACAGTTACCACGTGACCCAGCAATTCCAGTCCTAAGATAAATACCTGTTATGGGCTGAATTGTAACCCTTCAACATTAATCTATTGAACCCCTAGCCCCCAGTATCTCAGACCATGAATCTATTTGGAGACAGAGCTTTTAAAAAAATGATTAAAATAAAATGAGGTTATTAGGGGAGACTGCGATGCAAGATGACTGGTGTCCTTATGAAAGAGGAAATTTGGACCCACAAAGAGAAACCGGGGCTGTACACACACAGAGGAAAGACCATGTGAGAACACAAGAGAAAGGCCAACTGCAACCAAAGGAGAGAGGCCTTAGAAGTCACCAAACCTACTGACACCCTAATCTTGAACTTCCAACCACCATAACTAAGACAATGAATTATTGTTGTTTAAGTCACCCAATCTATGGCTCTTTTGTTATTGCAGCCCTAACAAATTAACACAATACCCAAAAGATAATAAAACCTACATTCACACAAAACTTGCACACAAATGTTCACAGCTGCATTATTCAAAGTAGCCAAACGTGGAAGCAACACAAATGTCCATAACCTGATGAATGGATAAACACAATTTGGTATATCCTTATAATGGAGTATTATTCAGCCATAAAAAGGTATAACATCATGAACCTTGAAAATACTATGCTAAATGAAAAAAGCTAGATACTAAAGGCCACATATTGTATGAGTCCATTTTTATGAAATATCCAGAATAAGCAAATCTATAGACAGAAAATAGATTAGTGGTGGCCAAGGGCTGGGAGAGGGTTTCAGAAAAGAGGAGAGGTCAGTAATTGGGACCACTTTGATGGAGACACCTCCATCAAAGATGATGGAAATGTTTTGGAATTACGTAGTGGTGATGGTTGTACAACTCTGTGAATAATACTAAAAACCTCTTTTTTCTATGTGAAATACATATGTCTCAATTTAAAAGACAAAAATATGCCTGATACATAGTGGGGGAAAAAAGACTAGCTGATTCTTACTTTTTAAAATGTTTATATGCATAAAAAAGGTCTAAAAGGCCAAAATCCACAATGTTTTGGGTGACAGAATTAATGATCATGTCTCTTTAAAAAGCTTAAAAAAAAAAAGTAAACCAGAGATCCTTGAAATCTGAACAAGATGAATCACTGATTTTTTTTCTGGGTTGTGTATAAACCAGTCCACCACAACTAGCTTAGAAAAAGCGTGATTTGAATGAAATCAGAATACAAATTGTATGGTAACTTCAAAGAACCATACTATTAGGTAACACTGTACCATTTTCACTGAGGTGAAAGTCCCAAAGGGAGGAAGGTGAGCGCTGCTGACAACTGAGACACATCATGTTAAATAATTCGGTTTTGGACATGTGACTTGTGTGTGTGTGTGTGTGTGTGTGTGTGTCTCATGCACCTATGGTCAGAGAGGGGTTTCCTTTGGTGAACGCACTCCACGTGTGGGCACCCTACCTGCCAGGCCACAGAGGTGGTTCTGGAACAGGCATATGGACCCCGTCAAGCCAGTCTTTCCCGGGAGCTGTGCTGCTGGGGCTCTCAGGAAAGAGAGCCATGTCTCCTGGACAGTTGAGCTGAGACTGCAGAAGCTGAAAGCTGCTGCTGCCAAAATCCTTGGCAGGGAGCATGAAGCAAACTGGAGCAGAGAGCCAATCCAGAGAAAGACAGAATGAGAGCTGGAGAGAGTAAGACAGAGCCCAAACAACAATGGGCAAAGCCCAGGATCTCGCCTGCTCCAAGGCCTGCTATATCCTAGGCTCATCATGTGAGCCAATACGTCCTCTTCGACATAAACAGATTTCCAGGGCTCCAATGAAACGTGCCTGATAAAGAAGTCCCTTACTCTAAATATACGAATAACCTGCAAACCCATTATTGACTCATGTGAATCTTCGTGGAATAGGCATTGGGGGTAGATGGAGACAGGGAGAGACATTAGGAAAACAAAAGAGAAATGGGCTATATTAAAAAAGGCTTATATACAAGTTCAAAAGCAAAGTTACTTCCAGAGGGTATCTTAATTTTTGGAGCCACACTGACTGTTTGAATCCTGACTTGGCCACTCATCACTGTGAGGTCAAGTTATTTCACCTCTTTCATACCTTGATTTTCTCGTCTGGAAAATGAGGAGGGTAACAGCATCTACCGTACAGGAGAGGCTTTTGTGAGGACTGACTGAGGTAGAGCAGGGTTTCACAGGGGACTAGCACTCAATGCAAACACCATTTATTGTTGGTATTGTTACGATAAGAACCCCAAAGTTAAACGTCTACCTTTAAAATAATACATTTACAATAACTTAACAGTCATTCTTTAGGAAAGGGATGTAAAACAAGAATCTGATGTATCTATTCAGTGGAACGTTAATACAGCCACAAAAGGAGTGAAGTCCTGTTATGTGCTATGAGCTGGACGAACACAGCAACATGTGAAAGAAGACACAGCATGGGTCACATATGGCAGGATGCCATGTACAGAACACACACAGAACACACAGACCCATGGAGACAGAAAGCAGATCCCTGATCATCAGGGCAAGGGGGGAGAGGGCTTCTTTCCAGTGTGATAGAAACATTCCAGATAGGGGTGATTACTGCAAAACATAATGAATACACCCCAAACCACTGGCATATACACCTTAACCTGGTGGGTCTTCAGGGCACTGTATCTCAATTTAAGAAAAAGAAACTGAGTTTCTCTTTAAAAAGTCTGTATTATCACCTATGGAATTCCATTGTGCCAAGCATCACTCATGTTAAGCAGAGATTAGTGAACTGTGCCAGTCCTGTTAACAGGGAATGAAAGGCTACAGAAAGTGTGGCTTCTTTCTGAGAAACGTAGCTGATTCTATTAGACACCCTAAAGTTGACCTGGAAATCTAAAAAAAATAAAAAATAAATTATAAAAGCTGTTCTTCTTGTTGTGACTTTTTACACTTCAAAAATCTGTCCACCTTGTTTTTAGAGAGAAAGCACATGTAATTTCATAGGTTCTCTCCAACAAATACTGGAATATTGGCCAAACAGACCCTGTCAGATTAAATAAAAAGAAACACAGTACCTGCCTCCTTCAATATATTCAAGAACCGGTAAAAGATACTAACAACACAGTGTTTTAGAGTCTCACCATGATCTTGTGGAATCCAAACAACTATAGAAAGTAGAAAGACTACTCCAAGTTTATAGGATCCCAGAGACTGTGGATGGACACATATGCTACCAAATTACCACCTAAAGGGAGCCACAACCTGTGCTCCTCCAGCAGTCTCATCGCTATCTGTCCCAACACGTCAGATGCCATTTAATTCTGACCCTCTCCCACAGACTCCATCTGTTTGCTAATCCTCTGCTTTAAGACCTGTCTGTTCCCTGGTTGCACTCCCTTGACCTCAGGCTATATCCAGTGAAAGACAATATGCACATCATCTGGTAAAATATATTTAAATAAATTACAATGAATAAAATGTGTTAAAATAAAATATATTAAAAGAATGAGAACAAATAAAATGAATTAAAATGAATTAATTAAATATTAAAATAAATACATTAAAACATCATGATGAAACAAAATCCTGGAATTTATCTTTGAAAAATTTCAAAGAATTATCTTTGAAAAATAAGTGTATGAGAAGAAATTTCACTCAGTAAGAATTTATCTCTAAATTACAAGCCCAAGTCAATGAGACACATTCACTGAAAAAATTTAGGAAGCACACCAAGCAAAAAAAAAAAAAAAAAAGAAATCCACCGCCTTCCTGTTTGAAATATGAAGATTACAAGGGGAGTTTATATGACTAAAAAGGTGGCTTCTAACCAATTACTACTTCTGAACATTAAAGGATTGTAATAGGTAATAAACAATTAATAAGAGAAAAACATTAAACAGAAACAGGAGACAATGAATAAGAATAAATATCATACTTTATAAACCTACCTAAAATCAATATCCAATAAAAGGCTTTTAATGTTAGACTTCTTTTCACCTGATGCTTTCAATCTGATCAGCTCATGCAACCTAAAACAATTAATGAAACCAAACTTAATAAGGAATTACAAATGTCACAGATAATAAGCAAATAAACCAAAACAACCCCACCAATGTTCTCCTGGTATTTCTAATATTTCAATGAAACACTGAAGAGAATTTGGCAGATACAACCAAGGTTTCAGTTTTTCAAATATTTTTTTAAAAGGCAGAACTTATTTGAAAAGGAGAAGTCTAAAATTATAAGCAATTAAAAAATCAAATCAGAAGGAATCTCCTATCATATATCAGAAATCTATAAAGATTTCTCTCAAGTGTAATATAGATTACAAACTCCTCAAGAGAGGGACCGTGCTTTATACTTCTCTTGTATATTGAAAACTGCAATGCTATGTCCCAGAACATAGTAAATAACTACTTGGTGATTTTTTCTTACAGTTTAAATAGTGGGCATAGTAGAAGTTTTTTAAAAAATCATACAACATACCTTGGTGTTCCAACACATAGTGCTCTTGTGAATCCAAGGGTAGAAAGTAGGTCTATCAAGAACTGACAGCTCCGATCAGCAAACAAATACTGGGCATTTGTCTTCTTGTTTTCCAATGGATAAAGAAGCTGACTGGGCCTTTTCAACTGGGTGATAGAAATATCGCCTACTACTCGATGCTCCTGATGCTTCTCCCAATCGTCTGGCAACAGCAATTGCTGACATCGTTGACAAAACTTTCTCTGAGACAGGGACAACTCAATAAACTTCAAGTACCTTCAAGACATAATTAAACACAAAGTAATATATTTTAAGTTTGTGGTTTTAAAGACAATTTCTGTTTGCTATTTTTAGTATGCACAAAGTACTATTACTTCCTTAAGAGTACCGTGTAAAGAAGCCAAAAAAAAAAATCTGTGGAATGTTGGCTAGAATTTATGTCCAGCTGCATACCTACAAAGTAGAAAAGAATCAGCAATTTTATAAGAACTGAGATGCTCCAATTCAGTCACTGAATGAGGATCAATATCCATTTAAAATGTGAACATAATATACTACTCAAACAACTTAGTAGTAATGGAGACTACTATCACGTTTAAATTTATTGACAAATCCATGTGTTCTAACTTTGAAGTGTTAAATAGTCTGGCTCAATATGACAGTCATTTTAAAATGAGAAATTAAGGTCATTCTTCAATTTTTTATGGCATACTTAGCAAGAAAAATTACCTCCTAAAAGAAAAAATGTTCCTACAAAGTTCCTCTATTCTTAGCAGCACTGAGAAAAGCAGTTCTGAAAAAGCTCATCCCCAAAAAAGCTAGACAATATCCAAAGCCTTAAAAAAAAACCATACTGATAGCCCATTTGATCTCTTTCAAGTCATACTCCTATCTGATTTCAAAGTTACCACTTTGGTTTTTTTTTCCTTTCATTTTATTAGAGATAATTAGAAAGAGAAAATAATCACGGTACGTTACTTTAAAACTGCTGTACCAGATATGAAATCAGAGTAAGAAAACCAAAGAAAAACAAACAACAGTATCAAGGCCTACAGCAGGTCGGCAATGTCTAAATCTAAGCATGTCAAATAGTGCACTAAAGGATTCTTAACAGTTTAAGAAGAGTCACGGAGTTTCAACTGAACTAACCTCTAGAACTGCACTGTAAAAACTGTGAACTTCACATAGAATCAAAGTGGGTTTTAAAACTTTTTATATCTAAGCAGAGCTTCACTTCAAAGCACCCAAGGCAGTGACAAATCGATATTCTGAATGGCTACAGCAAGAAATAAGCTTATCGTGCCAGTAATTTAAATGTTTCTATTTCCATGACAACTGTGCTTCTGACAGCTTTATCTATGGTTGGGAAGAAAAGGGAAAGCGGTATCAGGGGAAATTTTATAGTAATTCAAAGTAAGAATGTCAGTAGAGAAAAGGGCCCCTAAGATAAGAAATGCAGTAGAAAGAACCAGGACATTCTCCAGCAACAGAAACACTGAATTTACCTTTCGTTATTAAATGCTAAGGGTCGAAGACCTCCATATCCAGCCATGATAGAGTCGCAGAGACTAGATTTACCATCCTGGCCCTCAAAATTTTTTTAAACAAAGTAACATAATGGACAACCGGAAGCCCAACAGTGAGTAAGAGAAGGGACCAGATGAGGGAGTCTACACCCGCCCAGTTTACTGCCTGTGGCTATAGCCAGTACGGGCACGGAGAACCCAAACACGGCTCAACAAACTGAAGAGGCAGAGCTGAGAAGTGGTGGAGGCGAGGGCGGCTAGAATTCACAGGGCCGAGTACTAGAGAATACATATATGGAGCCCACAGGCCAGAAAGCAGGACACTGAGAGAGAGAGCTGCACGGTTTGCCGTGATTCCCCTCAATATATTTAATTAATTTATTCCTTAAGAGTCTGCCTTCAGCCCAGGTCATGATCCCAGGGTCCTGGGATCGAGCCCCGCATCGGGCTCCCTGCTCGGCGGGAAGCCTGCTTCTCCCTCTCCCACTCCCCCTGCTGTGTTCCCTCTCTCTCTGTGTCTCTGTCAAATAAATAAATAAAATCTTTAAAAAAAAAAGAAATTATCCAAAATGAAACACCAAGGGACCAAAATACATGAAAATGGACCCCCAAGGAAGGTGGGCAGAAAAAATTTTGAAAAAATTATGGCTGAAATTTTCCAAAAATTACATCAAAAGATTCAAGAACTCAGAGAACCTCAAGTACAAGAAACACAAAGAAAACTATAAGATGCATCATAATAAAATTATTCAAAATCAGTGAAAAAGAGAAAATCTTAAAATCAGAAGAAAAAAGACATGTACAGAGGAACAAAGATTAAGAGAATAATACCAGATTTCTCACTGGAAACAATGCCAAAAAGAAGACAGGGAGGCAATACCAATTCTACACAAATTCTTCCAGTACATTGAAGAGGAAAGTACAGTTCCCAATTCCTTTCATTAGGCCAGCATGACCCCAATACCAAACCAGAATAAAAATGTTATCAGAAAACCAAAGAACAATAAGCCTCATAAACACAAACTCAAAAATTAATGGAATTTTAGCAAGTCAAAGCCACAATATATAAAGAAGGTAAAAGAGCATGACTAAGTGCAGGTTAGCCCAGGAATGCCAGGCTGCTTCAATGTTTGCATTTGATCAATGCAATTCACCATATTAACAATCTTAAAAATATATATATATATATCATCTCATTAAATGCAGAAAAAAAGCACTTTCTCATCTATGAGAAAGGTTCTCAGAAAACTAGGAACAGAAGAGAACTTCCACAACCTGATAAAGGGCATCTGAGAAAAACCTGTAGCTTAACACCATACTGGTAAAAGACTGAACACATTCCTCCCAAGACTGGGACACAAGCAAAGATGTCTACTTTTACCATTTCTATTCAACACTGACTGGGATTCCAACCACTTTGATAAGACAAGAAAAAGAAATAAAAGGCACAGACTGGAAAGGAAACATAAAAATTTTATTCACAGATAACATGATCATATATGTAGAAAGTCCTGAGGAAATATTTTTTAAAAAGTTGATGGGGCACCTGGGGTGGCTCAGTCATTAAGCGTCTGCCTTCGGCTCAGGTCATGATCCCAGGGTCCTGGGATCGAGCCCCACATCGCGCTCCCTGCTCGGCGGGAAGCCTGCTTCTCCTTTTCCCACTCCCCCTGCTTGTGTTCCCTCTCTCACTATGTCTCTCTCTGTCAAATAAATAAATAAATAAATAAATAAGTTGCTACAACTAGTAAATAAACTCAAAGATTAATATACAAAAGCAATTGTACTGCTTATAGACTGGCTAATGTGCACATGATCAATCTTAAAATCACACAAAGTGAATAACCAGACGTTATCTACGTAATACAAAAGGAAATATACACCATTACTTACAAAAGAGTATTGCCCCCTAAAACTGAACTTGAGTCTGATAATAGCACTACAAGAAATATAGGGATAGAATAAATGTTAAACATTACAGCATGCAATAAACAAATCCAGAATGTGAGGAATTCTATAGGACAAATTACTGTTTCTTCAACAAATGATTAAAGATATCAACAAATTACAACGCACAAACCCTGTCTGGATCCTGATTTGTAAAACCAATTATAAAATGGCACTTACAGGCTAATCCGAGAAATGTGAATATTAACTGCATGTTAGGTAACATTAAAGAATTGTTTCATTTTTTAGGTATTTTAACAGTATTGTGATTATGTTTTTTTTAAAGGCCTTATTTCTTGAGATACATAGAAACATATTTATGGGTACAATTATATAATATCTACACTGAAGGTCAGGGTAGAAGGTATAAGTGAAATAAAATTAGCCACATACTGATGACTGATGAAGCTTTGTGTGGATGTGGGAGATTCTTTATACTGTTCTCTCTGCTTTTGTATATGCCTGAAATTTTCCATAATAAAAGATTTTTAAAAGTGCTTTAAAGAAAAAGCAAGAATTTGCTTGCTTTGAAAACAAGCAAAGAGGACCCCGGAAAATACTAAGCAAGAAATGGGTTGTACTCAGCCCTAAATCACATGCGACTTGGTTTTTCATTCTTTGGCAACAGGAATATAATCTGGGAAATTTCTCAGCCCTGAAGGACACGAGTTTCCAGTTTGAAAGGATTTACCTAATACCCAGCAAAATAGGATATAATAGACTCACATCAAGATAGGTAATCATGAAATGTCACACCTGTAGGAATAGTAAGATTCTAAGAAGAAAAAAAAAAAAAGACAAAGGGATCAAATGGCTCACGGATCATTTATGAGATCAGGAATGAACTTTCTGAACTTGAACTTCTCAACAGCTATAATGAAGACAAAAGTAAATGGAACATTGCCTTCCAAATCCTGAGGGAAAAATATTTCCAACCTAGAATTCCATCATCTGCATAGGGACCAACCAAGTATCAGCATAGATAAAGGTATCTGCAGAAACGCAGATTTCAGAATTGTTGGATGGTAAAACCAAATTTAACTCTAGAACAGTGTTCCTCACAGACTTGCCACGCACCAGTGCCAGCGATCAACTGTTACCAGTTCCTGATGAGACAAAGACAGATATCAAGAGTCTACGTTTAGAAATTTTTATACCAATTAGAGCACTTTTATGTCTGTTCAAACTAATAAAAAAATGTGAGCTTGTAGTCTGTATGTCTTCTCTTTTTTTCATTTTATTTTCTAGTAATTTATTTTCATTATATTTACAGAAGTATCTGATCCCAATGGGTAGCGAATAAAAACAAGAACATAAAACAAGCAAACAAACAAAAGACTGATCCCTTCACAGAGATCATTTAAGAAGTACTGCTCTGGAGGATGTGAAGCAATCCCGCAATTGCCCCAAGGAAAACATGTAATCTGAGTAATGTTATAGCTGGATCAGTGCCATTCAAGAATAAAGGAAGTAAACAAATATTTTGGGACTTGGAAGAACTCAGGTTAGGTAATCATATAATCTGGGTCCTTACTGAAGAAACTGACGGACAGCTGGGTGCCAGGTAAAGAGGACATTCCAGACTAGAGCATTTCTGAAAGCCCTAAGACAGATTTCTCTAAGAAGATGAAACCAATGGATTATGCTATATCTGAATGTTCTTAAAGGATTTAGACAACTGGCAGAGAGTTTGCAGTTGAAGCAGTGATAAGCACATAAATAAGCCAATAGCAGCTACAATAATAAAAAACCCAAGACTATTATTAACTCCAAAGAAAACAAAAAGCTGTGTAGAAAAGAAAA